AGGTTTCTTAAATCGTGGAATGTGATAATCAGTTCGATAACTGTCTCAGTAACTGTTATTCTGAATGACCATAATATCTCACATATTAGGATTCTGGGCGACTCGAAGGTTTGAGCGATAACGAGGCGTCGCGCTGAGCGACAGTGATGCACTCCATTCATCCAAACTCTGGGCGTCATGCGGGCTTGGAGGATGATGTTACTATGTTCGTGGGCTCCTTCTGCACTTACCAATAACCTCATTTGGGCCTTTGTCCTGGGTCTCCAATTGTGCTTCACTCTTTGGGCTGTGTTTTTAGTGTGTCAACAGAGTGTATGGCGAAATGGGAGAATGCAGTATTAATGTATGGTGATATGAAATAGGCGTTTGATAAGTTGACGAAAATGGAGATGTAACTGGAGTGGAGTCTGATTGTTGGGTTGAGAAGCTGATGCTATTCCAGTAGATGTTGAAGAGTGTTTAACCGAATAAATCAAATTAGGACCATTCTTGGTATACATAAAATTTTTTCTGTCAAGTTTACAAACCACACACAACACAGGTGGGACTCACATTTTTTGGAATATTTTATTGACAATGGGACCCACATCCATGTGATACATCTGGTTGGATTCTGTGAATTTTTTTTTGTACACATGCATTTTCCCATCAAATTAATCTTGATTCTAGAGAGAGATAAAGAAGTATTAGATACAAAAACATTGATTATAGGTACAATGATGGAATGTATTGGTATGCATAGGCATGATAAAAACTTTTCATTGTTGATGTGGCAAATATAATTGTCAATATATTTCTCAGATTGTATGACTGTTATAGAGAACTATATGTAAGGTTCTTTCGTCACATTAGTAGTTGGAAGTTTTTATCTTGTCCGCAGATCTATTGGTATGTAGACTAGATTGTGTTAGATATTTATACAATAAATATAATACATGAAAGAAATAATTAATTCACATGAAGTGCCTAATTGGTGAAAAGTGTGGAAGGTCGGGGGTCCGAGTCACACCTCAAGCATTATATCAAAAGATCCTTGATTGGGGCCTTGGGCTCTTAGGCTTAATTGATTCTAATAATAAA